TGGAGTTCGCATGTTCTCCATGTGTTGGTTTGGGTTTTCTCCAGGTGCTCTGGTTCCCCCCACAGTCCTAAGACATGCACTATGGGCCATAGTGTAAAAGTGTATGTGGAAATGTGAGAGTGTATGGGTGTTTCCCAGTACTGGGTTGCAGCTGGAAGGGCATCTGCTGCGTAAAACATATGCTGGAATTGTTTGCCGTTCATTCTGTTGTGGTGACCCCTGATAAACAAGCGACTAAGCCGAAGGAAAACGAATGAGTGAATGAAAGATGAACAAAAGTATCAGAATTGTGACAACATGAGTGATTAATAAAATAAATTTTTTTTTTGTTTGTTTTTTTTCTCTTAAATCACCTTTCTTCCCCATTCTTTTTTTTTCTTTTATTAATTGTTAACAAAACATTCAGACTGAAAAACCTATAATGAAACATATCAATAAAAAAAAAACACCCCCCTCCTCTGCGGTCTCTTGAAACTGAATAGAAGTTAACATAAAAACAAAACAGAATACAGTATCAAATATCAATTATACGAAGCAAGGCAATCATTCTGGATCCTGATCATTTCTTTGTGCAATAAACAAGGAGATTTTGTCAGCAGCTAAAGTCCAGATCTGTAATGTACTCATTTGTACCAAGTTCACTCTCGCCGTGGATAACTCCAACATTATAATGTCTTGAAGTTGTACCAACCACTTGTACATGTCCAAATTATGTGGAGGCAGTCAATGTTGGGCTAGTAATTTTTTAGCAGAAGTTAAGCCAGCCAGCCAAACAGCTTTTTTGTAGCTTGGTAAGGTTCAATGTAGAATCATCACTCAGTAATAGAAGGATTCAATGGTACAGGATATTCAATAATTTTTGATAGGATGACACATATGTCATTCTAAAATCTTTGTACTTTCTCACATTCCCACATCATATGGAAAAAAAGATCCAAGTTCCTGGTTAGGACATTTATCACAGAAAGGACTAAAGGAGGTATTGATACGATGTCTTTTGAGTGGGGTCCAGTAGGTTCTGTGACGAAAGTTATAGTGAATAAGTTGGTGATTGGGATTTTTAGATGGAGTAAAAATGTTCTGCCATACTCTTTCCCAGTCTGTGACACCCTCTTCTAGATGACAATCAGTTTCCCAACAGCGCTGTATAGCTAATTTTTTGCTGTACCCTCTAAGGCCTTTCTGTATATCCATGAGGTAAAATGATTAGTAAAGGACAGATCAAACCAAGTAATTATTGGATGAGTGGGAAGATTGTCCCCCCAGGGAACCCCGTAGGCCTTCATGGCCGATCTTAATCGCAGATATAAAAAGAGAGAGGAAGGTTCAGTTTCATACCGCTCACAAAGTTCTTGAAAACTTAATATGCCATTAGAACCAGAAATATCTTTTAGTGTATAAATGCCTTTCTGCATCCATTTCCTTGAAAGAAATGGTGCACCCCAAAAGAATTTTCTTTTTAAATGTGCCCAACTCTATAGATATATGTAGTTTTTGGCTTATATGTTGCTTAACAGATTACAGGATGTGTCAGAAATCAATCAACCACTGTCACATCTGAATTTCAGCTCTTCCTCTGCACTTCTAAAATCACTTTGAACACTTAAACTTGGTTGTGAGTGCATGACATAACTTGAATTTGCTTTCAAAATCCAGAAAACTGCTTCTTGATATGCTGTCAGCATGAACTTAACTCCTCCAGACCTACATTGATTTAGGGTTGACGTAGATGTTGTCCATAGCCAGCCAATAAATTATAATTATGCAAGTTCGTTAGAATCCAGAAGCACTACTTTCTTTGAATAACCAATAACTAGATCGAGAATGAGCCAGTGAGTTGATTCTAGTACTGAATCAGTTCACTTTGTGCACAAATCATTCAGTTTCCCTTGTAATTCATATCCACTGGTTTATTAAGAAGTGTCTCTCTATAAACGGTTATTATATGAATAAGAGCTTTGTGCAGATTCTTCAAACTTCAGACATTTACATATGTTCGTATATGTGAACTATTTCTTTAAGCAGTTTGTAATGGGGCGAACTTGTAGGTTTTAAAAGTGGGTAGACTAGAAACTTCTGAAGGAAAAAAAGACATTCAAAGTGTTTTTTCCAAGCATGTTATGATTCATTGAAGCTATTTTATCACTGATAAAATATGACAACGATTGCAAAGCATTTCCAAACACTGAATGGTTACCAATCCTGCAGTTTTACGCACCAGCGGTGTAAGTTTACAAAATCTAAACACTGTTTACAGAGCAAATTCTTCACAGTCAAGTCATACTTGAGACTAAGCATTCACCAAAAGTAGGTTTATTAGGATTAAATACTATAGCTACAACAACACACTTGCTTTAGTCCATCTAAAACTGGTTTAAATTGCATACGGCCATCATTACTGCTGTTTATGCGCAAACATATTAAAAGCTAATCTCTATATATCGATACTTGCTTATTTACCACAAAGTAGACAGGATGTCAAAAGGAGAAAAATAATGACTCAACCTGAAATTGACACCTGCAAGGCACTCGACAGACAAATTACAATCTATTAACCATAAATGTTTAAAAAATATATTCATGTTTAATGCAACTTTAATTCACATGAGCAAAGCGGAATTCACTAAGAAATCCCATTTATGTTGATTTCACATTGAACAAAAGTAGAAAGTACACATATTACCATGATTTACTGTGGATTTTAAACTTTTTAGGTAACAGAATAGAACAAAAAACTTGCCCACAATGACTATCTAATAGGTCTTTAAACCACCAATACATTAAGCATGGAAAATAAAAGCTTCTGACTTAAAACTGATTATTCATGAGAGCACAATATAGTTGACATACACTCTTATTAACATATTGAAGCACACATGGAGCTGTGACATGAAGTGATGCACACAGAGTTGTGAGAATGGGTTGCATTTCAAAAGACTGAGGTTACACTAAAATAGAATCTCACCTCAAGGCAAAAGTTCATGCAGGAAGTGGAACGATTTTATTAAAGTGTAAATTCAATGTTGTTTACAAGCCATCATTATTAAAAAATAATTATTAATAAAAAATTTTACAATTGAATTAAATTATGTTTTTAATAATGATGGCTTGTTATAATAATAATGATAATAATGTATAATAAATGTTACATGTATAATTAATAATAATAATGTTTTATGTTTTATGCATTACTATGAAAACTTTTCATCACATTCTGAATGCAATGCTGATCTTATAAAGGCTTCACACCAAAAAAGACTCAAATGTCACAGTTAAAAGCGCAGAGGAAAGATCGGATTTGTTTTCTGAACATCTTTTTTATTTATTCAATTTCTGGAATCATAGGGAATGTTGCTTTTAAATACTCAGAATCAATTAGAATTAATTATTTATTAAGTGTTAAGCTAAATTTTCAAAGTCACATGTAACATAAATCAAGCATATTATATATATATATATATATATATATATATATATATATATATATATATATATATATATATATATATATATATATATATAACTGAAACAATTGCATAGGTTAAAGCAGGCAGAAACAGCTGAGATTATTACAGATTATCCCTTTAGACATATAAAATATATTTTAAAAATATTGTACTAAGGTTTTGAAAACATTTTTTAATTATAATTAAATATTAAACATTTTTAGGACCCTGTTAGATTAACAGAAATGTTTTGAACAGAAGGCAATACATATCACATTCTGTAATTGTAATTGTGACTTAAACCTCCAGTGCATGCTACTTACAATGAATTTTGACTGAAATGTTTATTATTATTATTAATTTCTGAATGATACAAACTTATTTACGTTTAATGATCAGAAATTACAGACTTGAAAACAAACAGGAGACTAATTTAATCTAGCAAAAACTGTGCGGTATACCTGTTTTTTTTAGATGAAGCCAACAAATTTGTCTTTTTTTTAGAACAGATTTATGCATTTTTTCAGAGTTAAACTTTATTTCAACTATTTAAACTGCAGCCTTATACAATATATAAACTACTTAAAATGTATACATTCAAATATAGTACATTCATTTACAAATATAGCACATTCACTTTTATTTTTCTGTCAAAAGGTTCAAGTGTACAAAAACCTTGTAACTCCTTCCACTTTCAAACTGAGGTAAAGTTGGTTTTATATTCACGCATTCAGAAATTTCTCCTTAACCCTATAAAGCTGCACGTATAATAGTTGATACACAAGTTTCTAAGACCTATATAATATAAACCCGATTAATACTTTGTTTAAAAACCTCTTTTATAGGATTTGATATACAACAGGTATATCGGGTAACAGCTAAAAACAAAGAGAAGACTACCTAAAATGTTCTCTGTTGTCAAATGTTAAGAGCAAAATAGTTTTTGTAATTACAATTAACATTGTGAGCAGAAAGTTGCACAGACACCTGAGGTGTTAATGTGACACAACATAAATATAATGAGAAAAATGTATATGGCAATTTTTCTAGATGTTTAAGAAACATCTCTCTGCCTATAAACAAATTTCTGCCTATTTTGTTATAATTCATACCTTACAGCAGTGGTCACCAAACTTGTTCCTGGAGGGCCGGTGCCCTGCAGATTTTTGTTCCAACCCTAATCAAATACACCTGAACAAGCTAATCAAGGTCTTACTTGGTATACTTGAAACATCCAGGCAGGTGTGTTGAGGCAAGTTGGAACTAAACCCTGCAGGGACAGCGGCCCTCCAGGACCAAGATTGGTGACCCCTGCCTTACAGTGTTAATAATATAATTTCAGAAAAGTATTATTTGCTAATACTAAACAGTAAAATTATATCAGCAGCCAATGACTATCAAAGTACAACACTGTTCACAGTCAAATAAATACTGCTAATGTTGTTTTGAAGTCTATTTAGGTACTTTCACACCGACTATTCAAAAGTACCATGGTAAACAATATAGGAAGCGTGCATGTCACAATATGCGAATATAAAACTAACTTTACCTCAATCACATCCAAACGCTAATGCATCAAGAAACATCTGTGCTAAAACCAAATGAATACATTAAGCGTTATACCGAGAAACCGGGGGCTACTCGTACTATAACCGTTCTCTCGTAAAACCATGGTGCAAGTCAAAGGAAAACTATATAAACAATATATGTTTATGACTATACGAGAGTGAACGGAATTTTCCTTCTGGAATGTTTAAGAAACATTTTCATCCCCCTCAGAGGTATAGCCTGTCCCTTAGGAGCTCCGTAGAAACTATATTGGTTTGTTTATACTCAGTATTTCCAGCTGGTCAAGACCTATCCATGGACCTGCTGAGGGAATAAGTTCCAGCGTCAGTTTGTTTTTTGCCCTTGTCCTGCCAGAATGAGTCCAGGGAGAAATAGTAGATGAGCGGATCCAGGCAGCAGTTGACACTCGCCAGGCAGATCAGCGACCGTAAAACTTTCCTGTCAAAATCATCCTTCTTGTACGCCAAGAGTTGTAAAGTAAACGGCAAGAAAAATACAGTAAACACCAGCATGTTTACTAGAAAAATAAGCACAACGTTCATTTTGTTGTTGACTTTGGTCGCGCCGGCGTTTGGTCGCCTCTGGAGCACGACCACGACCACGACCGTGGAGACGACATTGACCACCAGGAGTATTAATAAAAACAGCGCTTGTAAAATCGAAGGAGTTTGTGAGGCATTTTGCTGCACCTGAAACTCAAAACACGGCATATGGGCACAGTTTTTCAGGGAGCCGTGAATTTTTAAAGTCTCAGGGATGGAAAGTATGGTGATGAGGATCCAGACGAGCGCGCAAGACTTCAGGGCGCACGCGGAGGTGCGCAGAGACCTGGAGCGCAGCGGGAAGACCAGCGCGACCATGCGGTCCAGGCTGATTAAAGTGATGAAGATGGAGCTCGTCCTGATGTTGATGCGGAACAGCATGATGGCACCGGCGCACGAGACCGCGCCTAACGGCCACTGGAGAGTTGCGTAAAAGTAGACGCGCAGCGGCAGGGAGAGCGCGAGAAGCAGGTCGGACGCGGCGAGGTTGACCATCAGCACCGCGCACGGGGACCGGAGCCCATGACTCCGCAGGAGGATCCACAGGGACACCGTGTTGAGCGGCAAACCGATGACCAGAACCAGTCCATACACGACAGCCGACGCCACAAAGCGGGCCGAAGGTTCCAGTTGGTTAGTAATGCATGTGTTGGTGAAGTTTTGATTCATTTCTCTCAAGAAAACGAATCGACGTACTAAATGAGAAATCCGTGTACAAACGTCTTCTGGGTTAAAGGTGTTCCGGGCGTGAAGTGAATCAACTGAAGAGGAAGCATGTCGTTGATAAAGGTGAAGAGGTTTCTCCGCCTCTTCAGGGGAGCTTGCTCTTTTTCTTGTGCTGGGTTTATGTTTGTAATGTCAAAGTTTGTGAAATGTCTTGGCTTTCTAAATGGCTTTAGAAAGTTTCCCTCTATGTGAATTACACATTTCCCTAACCTCGTTTTGACCTTTTTGAGCACGTTGACAGACTAAAGCTTAAAATGTCACGTGGGAATCTGCCATACTCAACATGCAATACTACAATGACTTTTGCTGCTTGTTCAAACTATTCTTTTAAAAATGAGCTGAACAACACTATTCTAGACGCATCTTTGGAACGAGATAATTGTTTTACATCCAATCCACTTAAATTTGTGAAGTTAATCTGTTTGGGTTGGGACAACGTAAATAAATTGTGTCTAACATTTTTTACAGTGTATACTATTTGATTTTAAGAGTGGGGGAAGCATGTAACAATTCATACAACATCACAAGATGTAAAAATGACGTAAGAATATCAAAACAATGGGCATAAATAATAATTAATACATGTTTTATTCGGTTTTTCTCATTGATAGATTGCATTTTGCATTAAACTATCAAAATGTTTTGCTGTTTTTATATAAAAATAGTTTCATTTTCTAAAATGTATTAACACATTTTTTTAACATTGTGGACTAATTAAGTTTAATTTTAATTCCAAAATTAATATGAATCTGAATCATATATTTTTAAATAAACTAGTAAGAGTGTATTAACTAAGAGTACAGAGTACAGTAATATACAGTTGAAGTCAGAATTATTAGCCCCCCCTGTTTATTTTTTCCCCCCCAATTTCTGTTTAACAGAGTGCAGATTTTTTTCAACACATTTCTAAACATAAAAGTTTTAATAACTCATTTCTATTAATGGATGTATTTTATCTTTGCCATGATGACAGTAAATAATATTTGACGAGATATTTTTCAAGACACTTCTATACAGCTTAAAGTGACATTTAAAGGCTTAACTAGGTTAATTAGGTTAACAGGTTAGGGTCATTAGGCAAGTTATTGTATAACCATGGTTAGTTCTGTAGACTATCGAAAAAATAGATAGCTTAAAGGGGCTAAAAATTTTGACCCTAAAATGGTGTTTAAAAAGGGGGGGTTCTCGAGATCTACCCAAGCTCAAACTCCCCTCTCGCCCTGCAAACGGGAGGGAGCCCCGGGCTCGATCCAGGGACAGCATGCCAAACAAACTTATTACCAATCTTCAGCTAAGTGTGAACTCTGGAATGCATCACACACACACACACGCATGAACCTCATATTCAGCTGCATGTTCAAAAATGACAAGCAACAACGAATCAAAATACCAAAATCTGACAGATGTTTTAAAATACACACAATAAATGAGTTTACTTTTGGTAGCCACATAGTTGAACTAATTATTAAACCATAGTGCAGCATTACCACCTCAATATTGAGCGTTATTTTCTAATAATTCAGCAGCCAGCTATTCAACTTTGAATCGATTTTTTTAAGAGCAATTTCATGCAAATGTCAACCTTGCCATGAAAAATATAAAGTTTTCACCAAAATACGGAAACCGTTTCTATGTTTTTTGTGTAAGCAAGTATTTTAAAGTACTATAGAAATACTCAAAAATGTCTCCGTCAGTGTTTTCAAACTATTAAATTTTATTTACCAAAGTCACACGTCAATTTCACATCTGTCACACCAGCCTGATCTCACGAGAAAACGTAAGTATTTTACGTTTTGCCAGTTTAGTGGCTAAGTTCTAGTGACTGAGTTCAGTCGTAAGAAATTGTACGATTTTAAAAAGGAGGCGTGGCACCTAACCCCACCCCTAAACCCAACCGTCATTGGGGGATGAGCAAATCGTACTAAAATGTACTAAAATGTATTAGCCACTAAATGAAAAAGTTACGAATTGCCGTGAGATTGTGTTGGTCACACCCATAATGGAGAGATGCCACATCCATAACTACATTTTTCCCTCATAAATGCTAAAATATTTTATAAAATAAAATCAATTATTGTTGTTCTGGAGTGACCAATTTGCAGTGACCAATCTTATCCTTTTATTTAGCATTATTTCTTTTGGGTTGTGCAGTTTAATTTACAGAATTTCTACAAAGTATGTTGTATACTGAAAATACTGCACACTTATTTGGTTACATCAATAACGCATGTTTATTTTCTTAATTTAAAGTACAAAAAATGTTTGCAGATTGATAAATTTCTGATCACATAACTTTGTGTTTAGTTGTTTTGAAAAATATAAACAAAAGTTTCAGTATAATGTTAACATATACTTTCTATGTGAAGTTTTTCCTGCAAATGTCACATCCATGATGCTGGAATTGCTCTTAAATATATCAGTAACGCACGGGAGATGAATAAATATGAATCTGTAGCAAGACGTTAACTGTGTACAAAACCACTGACACAAAAACACACGCTTGTCTGAGAGAGCGTTTATCATGTCTCTCACGATACCATGATGGTGGTGTTGTGGTTTATTTAGTAAAGTTCATTGTGCACTAAAAATCAACCTGAGAAAACAAGCATAAGCAAACATGCCGTAAACAATGCACACACTTTATTGTAATAAATAACATGGATATCAAACACGAGTAGATCATCAGAGGGACGACTGCAGTGCTGCGAGAGGAGCATAGCCAAATTGTAGCTACAGCAAAAATACTCATCATTTGTAATAGCTCTTCTGTTTTATAGCACTATAAAATGATGTTTTAAAACAATATAAAATGACTTGGTTTTAATAGCATTATACAGTGCTCAGCATATACGAGTACACCCTCACAGATCTATTATTTAAATTGATACTTTGTATAGAAAGCTTTACAATATTATATTTGTGCATGTTTATTGGTTTAGTCAGTATTGAAGCCAAACCTGGAGCTAATCTAACAAAATAACTTACAATAATGGTTCAAAAATGAGTACCCCAAATGTATATGTTATGGAAAAATATTAAATAAATTATCCAAAAAAATCAGGTGAAAAAAAATATACAAAATTTAGCTGAAATGTAGTTTGTAAAATGTTTTGCTAAATTTTGCATGCATTTAATTGTATTATCTTTCTATTTCTAAAGATGTTCTGTGACTAAAATATTATTTTAATAAATATATCGGTTTAATAAATTTGTTTTGTTTAAATGTGCCAAAATATATTACCCATACTCACTGAGAAATGCATACAATTATTCATTTTCAAAAAGGGGTGTACTCAATTATGCTGAGCACTGTATATTTTAAGTAAACAGCAAATGGACGTAATTATACTTATAATTCCCATTTATCTAGTGCACAACCAACACATTTTCACTCATAGTTCAGATCGGACATTAAAAGCTTGAAATGTAGCGTTCTGTCACACTTACTTCCCTGCTATAAAACAAGTCACTCCCATGGTTATGACATTTGCTTCAGCAGGAACCTTTGACATCTACTTCAACTTGAGTCTATATGACGATCACAACGTTAGCAGAGTTAATAATTACTTGAACTTGAACACAGTTACTGAACCATCACTATGACCTATAAACCTCTGACTAGGCTGACCAGCTTTCTTTACCACAATAGAAAGACTAGAAGTAAAAGACTGACCTCTGGTGGTGATTAGAGGAATAGGACAGATTTTCAAGAATCACTGGTACTGTCCCTGATAAAAGGGGATTTACTATGCAAAAATTACCTTAATAAGGGGTTTAAATACAGTTGTGTATTAATTGTGTGTAAATATAGCCAGCCTATAATGGTAAAGTTAATTAATTATATATTTTTTTTATAATCACACTTGATAAAATCAGTATGCAGAAACACTTTGATTGACATTCTTCCTTTGTACATGTCATCAGAGGGGGAACGCCCCGCCCATTAGTGACGAACCCACTAAGATGCATGCATCTGTAGCTCCGCCTTCTGGCTGGAGCACAATCTCATTTAAATTTAAAGTGACAGTCATCAAAACTAAACAATTTGGATCGAAGCCTAAAAGGGGCAGTTTCAAAGAGTTATAATACATTACTTGTGGAGGATTTTGAGCTGAAACTTCACATACACACTCTTGGGACATCAGAGACTTATTTTATGTCTTGTAAAGAAGGAGCATAATAGGTCCCCTTTTAATCATTTAAAAATAATCATTTTGTATGAACAAATGTACTATAACTTCAGATTTTGTTCTTCTAGTTCTCATTACTGCAATGAATGTTTTCACAATTGTTTATTCTTACATTATTTCTCATTACTGTAGCAACTGTCTTAGTTTATTAACTATTCTGTATTAATATACAAATGCTGTTTTTTTTACATTAACCCAGTTTTTTAAAGGCTTTTCACATAAAAATAAATGCTTTTTATACAAATACTTTTATTTTTCTAATTATTAGTAGTAGTTTCAGTGCTACAATAATGTACATTTTGCAATATAATAATGAAAACTGATGCAAATTTTTTTGGTTTGTTTGATTTGTGGTACAATGTGACCTGAGGTGTATTTCAGAAGGCAAGTTTAACCCTAAACCTGCTTAAGGTTTCAAGGTACAGGTGAAATCACAATTATTAGACCCTCTGGATTATTAGTAAATAATAGTTTACTCAACATTTTTCAAGATACTTCTATTCAGCTGAAAATACATTTTATCCCTAAATATTTCATTTCTTTTGGAAGTCACTTAAAGCCAAATTGTGTTACTACATGTGAATGACAGGTTTTGGAAACTGGCATGGCCTCTGATTTTTCCCAATTTATTTTATATCCGGATACGTCTGAATACTGTGGTATTCTTTTCATTAATGGAGGTGAAGATTTGAGTGCGTCATGGATAGTAATAAGATATCATCTGCATACAACATCTACTTGTGTGACTTAATGTCTTTTCCCCCCTAACACCTCTAATATTTGTGTATGGCCGAATCATAACGGCTAGAGGCTCTAATCCTATGGTAAACAAAAGAGGGGACAATGGGCATCCTTGACGAGTACCTCTGGAGACTGGAAAAAACAGAGATACATGCCATTTGTCATCAATTCTGCTTTAGGGTTTTTATATAATAAATTAATCCAGATTGTACAAGTATTGCTAAATCCAAACTTTGACAGGGTTGAGGCCAAAAAGCCCCATTCAACCCTGTCAAAGGCCTTTTCAGCATCCAGAGATATGCTGCAATTGGAGTAATCTCTGGATAACTTGACCGCATCAAATCCACCAGTTTTCTCATATTATCGTTTGAGGACCTCCCCTTAATAAAGCCCACCTAGTCTTTATGAATTATACTGAAAGTTTAAAGGGACATAAGGCTTAACTAGGTTAATTTGGTTAAGTAGGCATGTTAGTGTAATCAGGCAAGATATTGTATAACGATAGTTTGTTCTGTAGACTACTGAAAAATATATAGCTTAAAGGGGCTAATAATATTGATCTTTAAATGGTGTTTAAAAAAATTAAAAAGTGCTTTTATTTTAGCCGAAATAAAACAAATAAGACTTTCTCCAGAAGAAAAAATATTATCAGACATACTGTGAAAATTTCCTTGCTCTGTTAAACATAATTCGGGAAATTTTTAAAAACTAAAACAAAATTCAAAGGGGGCTAATAATTGTGACTTCAACTGTAAAATAAATCAATTTTGACAAAAATGTCAGACTTTGTAATCCAGTGCATAGTACCCGCTAATTTCTAAAATAGCAAAATAATTAAAGGGAGTCAATGGGTAGCATCAAATGTCTGGCTCACCAGAATGGAAATGTCATCTTTTGTGATGAACAGATGGAAGAAATTAACTAGGGACTGAAAAATCTCTGCGAGATGATTTTAAATGTTTGGGAGAACTAGACTGACCCATTGCCTCTAAATGTACTTTTAATAATTTCCTACAAATGTAAAATTGGTTTACTTAATATTAAAATTGGTTTGATGAACTACTAAATAATTTTTGTAGTACATGCATACCTAAGTACACTGCAAAACTCAACAGTCAACTTAATCAAATGAAATGAGTGTAGTGAACTCAAAATGTACTGAAAGTTATTCTACTCAATTGAAAAGGTAAAGAGTTAATTAAATACCTCATTACTACAACTTAAATGGAGTAAGTTCACAGTACTCAATAGGGTTAGTTTAGAAATTAAATGCTTTGTTGCAATCGGTTTCCTCAAACTGTTTGAATTAACTTTTTGGGTTTTACTCTGTAGCTTTTCTCAATATAATCATGAATGCAACGTTTATGATTTCCTTTTTACTATTTTGTATGTATGTGTCTGTAAGGAGATTGTTGCACCTTGCATAGATATAATTGCATGTCTCAGGGGGTTTCCTTGAATATTTAGGGTGCAGGTGCACTGAGGAAGAGCGTTTAGTTCGAACATTTGCACTTTCACAGCATTTTGCACTGTTGCACTTATTTGTGGCCTCAGATGCATCAACAAAGGTTTTGAGGTGCTCTTTACCAAGCATGACTGTTTTCAGATATTTATTCCTGCTGTTTTCAGTCATTGCTTTGGATCCAGACACCAGACTAACTGTTGTTTTATTTTGGACTATATCTGGCTCAGGGCCTTTCTTTGACTGATAAAAAGTCATCATAAATCTCAAGTGCAAAGGGAACTGAAACATTCGTCTGTGACAAATGCAGCTGTCTTCGCATATATATACATCCCATTCATTTGCATACAGTTCATCTGTCTAAAATGAGCATTTAAAGTGATAAATCATCTGGTTTAATGTTGTAAATTACTGTACAAAAACCGGGTAATAAGCTGCCAGCATATTTTCTGTTATTTTACAGACTTCTATCTCTATATATTATTTTTTGTACATTATACCATCTCAAAGTACTAAAACGTCAATAACAATCACCCTGTTAAAAAGTTAACAGATCAGAGATAAAACTGTTATTTAATAGATTTTTACAGCGTAGGATTATTCATCCCATGATCCTTCTAACATCCCTAAGTGTTTATATAGATTAGGGTTGGGTCGATAGACGATGCCATTATCCATCGCGGATGGTCAATAGACATTACAACGCTCCAGTCGCAGCAACGACCTGCTCGTAAAAAATATACACTTAGGCTTTGTTTACACGAATACGTCTTAGTTTTAAAATGGCATTTTAGAACGAAAACGATCCATGTCCACACTGGCGTTGCATCTAGCATTTCTGAAAAGCCCTCCTTCTACACTATACTGCTGAAAACGCACATCACGTGACCACACCCACAAATACACACAGGCGTGCGCTGGAGCATATGCACACATCTGAGTTCCAGGCAGTCAGTGGGTGCTTTGAGCACAAAACCCCAGAGAGCAGTGCATGTCGGACAGTTTATCAAGGATGTACTGCTGGATTGTGTCTCACTATAGTTGTTAAACGTGATATTTAATTAGTCTTGTCTCTATCTAACGTCTCTTTTGTCTTTTGAATCTGATAGGTAACATGTCACAGCGTCAGTACACTGCTACAATCTTTCACTTTCACACTTGTACTTAGGGAAGTTTATGTATAAACAAATTTCGAGAGGATCACGTGCTTATGATTGCTAGCGGCTGGATCCGCATTATCCAATTCACTACGCTCCAATCAGATGATTCCTAAACTACTATAAATACCCTGGGTTTCATTCCACTGCTATCTTCGTTTTGAAGAGTCCCCCCTTCCTCCCTTACTCCTCCTTCTTAGACGGGTGACACGGTGGCCCAGTGCGTAGCACTGTCGCCTCACAGCAAGAATGTCACTGGTTTCTGGCTTTACCAAACTAGCAGACATTTCTGTGTGGAGTTTCCACTTCTCCCCGTGCTCACGTGGGTTTCCCCCGGGTTCCCTGGTTTCCTCCCACCGCCTAAAAACATGCAAATAAGTCAATTGAACAATCCAAATTGGCACCATAGACACGCTTCTAGTACATAATTATTTTCAAGAGCAATCACTTGCTACAGCAGGGGAGTTCTCGAGATCTACCTGAGCTCAAACTCCCCTCCCGCCTTGCAACGGGAGGGAGCTCATGCCAAACAAGCTTTAAAATCAATCATCAGCCAAGTGTGAACACTTGAACTATAATAATAAGAGATTTACGAATAGATGAACATACTGTGTGCAGGTTGCTATTAATAATCAGGTATATGCAAATAGATATGAACAACATAAGTAAAGCTTTATTTATATAGCACCTTTAACAGAAACTCCCGGGACAGCATGCCAAACAAGCTTTTATAATTAATCATCAGCTAAGTGTGAACTCTTGAAGTAATTTTAGCGAAAACCTCAGATACTGTTGGTTGATTCCTGTTGATTGTGCACCTTTTTTACCAACCAAGTTTGTCGACGCCATTATAACGACACAGATTACTCTGCCTATTCATGCAGAAAAAGTGATTGACAGGTGGTCATTTGTGTGTGACTTATTTTTATTTATTTTAATCTGGTTATGGGTAAATCAAAGACCATGCGGGTCAGGTACAGTTGAAATGATAGGCTACAAATAACCAATTCATTATGAATTAAGCAATTATTTATAAATAATGAATTCACCGCCGCCTATGATGATGATGCCATTGTCCATCGCAATGTTTCACTTTAGACATCGTACAATGCCAAATTGGTCAACATCACCCAACCCTAATATAGATCAATAAGTACAACCAGTATCTGCACATATCTTCATCTTTTCCCTGAGTGTTTGTGTAGATCCTTACATAAAACCAGGGCTGCGTCCGAAACCGCAAACTTCCATACTATATAGTACGCTAAAATCAGTATGCGAGCCGAGTAGTATGTCCGAATTCATAGAATTCGAAAATCAGTATGCGAGAAGTACCCGGATGACTTACTACTTCCGGCGAGATTCTGAAGTGCGCATCCCATGCATGCTGCGCTATCCCATGATGCCCCGCGAGCGAATTCATGAATGGAAGTAAAGCGACGCAACTGACGCAGGTAGGTCACGTGACCATGACAAAATGGCGGATGTAGTACGTCCGAATTCCATTCATACTTTTCACATTCATACTGTATAGAATGTACTTTTCTAATGGCCGAGTAGTACGTTTAAATTCAAAAGCAGTACCTACTAAGTAGTAGGCGGTTTCGGACGCAGCCCGGTATCCACACATACAGCGAGGAAAATAAATATTAAATGCGTCTCTATTTTTCTCAGAAAATATATTTCTAAAAGTGCCGGTGACTTGAAATTTTCCTGGGATGTTGGTAACAACCAAAGAAATCCATATATGCAATGAAAACAAAACTAATTAGGTTACGAATTAAATTATGTGTAATAAAATGAAAAAACGCAGGGAAAAAGTATTGAACACACAAAAAAAGGAAGGTCCAGAATCTCAGTGAAAGCCCAGACAGCAGCTGAAATCTCTCAGTAGTTCTTCAGCAACCCTCTGCCCTTCGTCAGTGTAAATGAATATCAGCTGCTTCAGTCCTACATCTACATTAGCAGCATAATGAAGATAAAACCAGGGTGGACATTTCAGCAAGACAATGATCCAAAACACAGCCAAAAAAACTCTTAAATGCTTTCAGAGAAAGAAAATCAAGCCGTAGAATGGCCGAGCCAATCACCTGACCTGAATCCAATAGAAAATAAAGATCACATTTAACAGACGAGACCCACAGAACCATCAAGATTTTTGCACTCTGTTGAAATCTTTATATAAAGTAATAAATACACTTCAGTAGTTATTGTTATAACACATAACTCATTTTTCACATTCTTTGTTTTGTTTTATTTTTATGTTTGTATTTTTTTTTTTTTTTTTTTACCAAAATCTGGTTCAATTCCATGTCTACAGCTCCTTTAGTAATATTATTCCCAGGAAAAAACATGACGTGTTCAATACTTATTCCCCCTGCTGTATCTTCCATCCTTTCCCCAAGTGTTTATGTAGAAGCTAATTTAAAACCAGTATCCACACCTATCTCCATCTTTTCCCTGAGTGTTTGTGTAGATCCTTAAGTAAAACCAGTATCTACACATATCTCCATCTTTTCCCTGAGTGTTTGTGTAGATCATTAAGTAAAACCAGTATCTACACATATCTCCATTTTTTCCCTGAGTGTTTGTGTAGACCCTTAAGTAAAACCAGTATCTACACATATCTCCATCTTTTCCCTGAGTGTTTGTGTAGATTCTTAAGTAAAACCAGTATCCACACATATCTCCATCTTTTCACTGCTTACAGAAGAGCCGTTATGGTTTTCTCCAAATGTAAGACTCCTTGATCCACCCCGTATGCGTGTCTCTCTGACGTGTATCGCCATTCTCCTCTCTTTCTGCGCAGACTCCAGGTTCTCTTTAAGGATGAAATAGTAGCACGCTCCATCTGCCAAGATGTTCACATTGCTAAAGCATATGCTGACATGAACAAAGTAACGCAGGTGACTGATGATGTCTTCGTTCCAGTTGTTCGTCTTGGCATGGAAGTATATGAGAGCCGCTATGTGATAAGGAATGAAGCATGCCAGAAAGACCCCCAGGTTGCTGAGCACGATTTTCAAGCTCTTGTTACTGCGCAGTTTGGGATCTCCAGGGTTTCGTGCTCTCATACTGTGTAAAATCTGCACAACTCGCACCGAGCAGAACACCATCACTATCGTGCTGCTGCAAAACACCGTCTCCATTGAAACCACGATCCAACTCTTTGACCAGGTTTTATTGGAGAACTGCTGGAAACAGTAAACTTTGTCGGTTTTATTGACAGGTTCATCGTGAAGTTTGTAGATGGGAGTGCTGCATGCAAATACTAATATCCACAGAATTAGGCATATGATCACCGACTTGCGTGGAGAGCGCAATCGCAAGGCAATGAATGGAAACTGTAGAGCGATATAGCGATCGACAGCAATGCACACGCTCAATAATATGCTGCCGTAGATGTTGACGTAGAGCAGGCTCTCCAGCAGGGAGCAGAAGGTTCGGCCGAGTGTCCATACCTTCTTGTATGCGTGTATTTTGAAGGGCAAGGACAGCATCAGCAGGCTGTCGTTGATGATCAGGTTGATGAGGTAAACGGTGGACTCGCTCCAGCGTCGAACGCGAAACAGCAGCTGCCACAGAGAGCCCAGGATCAAAGGGATGCCAAAGACCAGGATGGGCACGTACACACACCTCTGGAACCAGCAAACCCATTCACAGTCTGTCCTGGAAAGAGAGAGAGAAACAGAAAGACGGTTGAAGTAGATTAGAATAAATTCAACTTATTAACTTTATTTCACTGTAGGTATAAGTTATATGTGCAATTATAGAGAACAATGGGTAATATTTACAGATGGATGTACTATGAACTTAATATACAAGTCGTATTAGGTAAAGTTTATTTATAAACTAATTTAGAGAGAATCGTGTCCTTATGATTGCTTGCAGCCGGCCTCGCATTATTTAATTTATGATACACCAATCAGACGATTCCAAAGCCACTATAAATACCCTAAGTTCCATATGACAGCCATCTTCATTTTGAAGAATCCCCCCTTCCACACCTACTCCTCCTCCTTTCTAGATGGGTGGCACAGTGGCCCAGTGGTTAGTACTGTTGCCTCACAGCAAGAAAATCACTGGTTCTAGTCATTCCTAAGACGTTTCTGTGCAGAGTTTACACGTTCTCCCCAAGCTCACGTGGGTTTCCCCCAGGTTCCCCGGTTTCCTCCCACCATCCAAAAACAAGCAACTTAAGTTAATTTACTAATACAAATTGGCATCATAGACATGCTCCTAGTAAGTAGTTATCTCTTAAGAGCAATCACTATCTGTTCATTAACTACTACAGCAGGGGAGTTCTCGAGATCTACCTGAGCTAAAACTCCCCCCACGCCTTGCAAACGGGAGGGAGCTCATGCCAAACAAGCTTTAAAATCAATTATCAGCCAAGTGTGAACACTTGTACTATAACAATAAGAGATTTACAAATAGATGAACATACTGTGTGCAGGTTGCTATTAATAATCAGGTATATGCAAATAGATATGAACAACATAAGTAAAGGTTTATTTATATAGCACCTATAGCACCTTTCACAGACATTGGGCTCTATTTTAACAATCTACTGTAGGTGCAAAATCTTAAAGTGCATGGTGCAAAAGCATTAAGAATCCTCTTTTGTGATTATAAGAAATGAATAAAACCCTCTGTGCCCCGGTGCAAGGTCTAACAGGGGTGTGCTTATTCTCTTAACGAGTTATGGGTGTCTTTTGAGCATAACATGCATTAAACCAATGAGACCAGAGTCTCATCTCTCATTCCCTTTAAGAGTCAGTTGCGTCGCACCATGGCGCATTTGCTATTTACATAGTGGACTTTGTAAGTGGACAAACTAAACACTTAAACAAACCATCTGCAGCACAAGGATAAAGAATGAGCCTCCTCCATTCGGCCTCTTTATGCCTTTATTTTACTCCTTTACTTTCATGGAAAAGGAAACGGTGTTGTACGCACTTCACTAAAGACATCCATCAGCCTACATATTTAATTTTGTTTGTTATGTGCAAATATTTGTTTCAAAAATATTCTTAAATTCAGTTTCCAGGAAACTAATAAATGAACAATAATAATGAAGTGTGGTCAAAAACGTTATATCCAAACACACTATTCTGCCCCATATGGTCCAAAACTCGACAGGTGGACAAATCTAAACTAGTTTTTATTAAAACAAATATAAATATGCACATATTAAATAATACTACTAATAATAACATTAAACAAATCTAAATTGTCATGAATAAACTCAAAAAAGCCCCTAGGATGAGGCATGGAGGCAATGTTTTTTTATATTATATAGAAAATAATAACTTTTGTAACATTTAAATCCTTCAATTTTTTTCATATGTAAAGATATTTGTGTATTGCCGTGCATCCTGTTTGTATTAAGCATTGTGTAAGCATTTGAACCCACATAGGCATAACAGCTTTTAGATGGTCAATAGTGCGGTCTGTTTCAGTTCTTCAAAATAGCAAAGCGCCAACAATGCGCTTGACACACCTCTATTTTAGACCAGCATGCCAATGAGACCACAAAGTGGTGCAAATGGATTTGCTATTTAAACAACCTGGTGCAAAACATGAAAATTAGGGTTGCGCTGGTCGGAAAATAGCAACAAACACATCTTGCACCTTATTCCACCGGGTGTATGATGAATAAAAGAAAACTGGAAAACAGGTGAAAGAAAAAATCTATAAAAGAAAACATATTGAATCAAGTTAATAATTCAAGAACAGAAACACCTGTATGAAACCAGCTCATCATATTGTTAATAAAAGCTTGCCCAAAAATAATGTCTTTCAATGTTTGTTTTTTTTTAAAGTTCAACTGATCCCAGAGATCTCGGTGCTAGAGGGAGAGCGTTTCAGAGCCTTGGGGCTACAACACAGAAAGCATGGTCATCTTTAGTCTTAAGATGTGTTCTCAGAGACTGGCCACAGAAGTGACCATGTAAAAGATCTTGATGATAAAGGGGGAACTGACCATGCAGAGCTCTATATGTAATGACCAGAATCTTAAAATGTACTCAACAGGAAGGCAATGAAGAGTCTTGAAGAGCACTGCAGTTTGAAGATGACAAACGCCCCAAAACTTGCTATGAACAGAAATTTAAAAATAGATATATTCATATCATACATTTACAAATGGGTTTGTATAGTGTAGTGCATTGAATATGTGCTATCTTAAATAGTGCAATGGTAATTGGGAGTAGTCTACTGGTTTGAAGTACCAGTCTACAGTCTTGTTCAAAATGCTTCAGCTTGTTCTTGTAATGAGGAAGAAAAAGAGTGAGCACAACACCCTTATTGAAGCATATTTACATTGGCTTCTAGTTACACTTATTATCGATTTACAGGGTTTGATCGATTACAAGGCATGATCTTACTCCGGTTTACATCTCAGACTTGTCCATTATTTGTCCATTAAAAAAACTATAGGAGAATCATCTGACAGACTATTAGCCATGGAATTTCCTACTTAAACTTGTTAGGTTATCCTGTTCATTGCTCTGTGGAAGAGCATTTTCACCACTGAATAAGTAAAACAAAATATTATAAAAGGTTTTTGTGACTTTTTACCTCAGAGTTTTGACTTTCTTTTCATCAAAATAGCAAGTTTATATCAGGCAATTGTGACTTTTTCTCAGAACTGTATCATGTGCTTTAGACTTTTGAATTGCTACTTTCTCAAAATCATGGTATATAAGATATCAGATTTCTGGCGTTAAAACCTAACTATGACTTTTTTATCTGAGAAATAAGTTTACAACTGCAATTTTGACTTTAGAACTGATAATAGCCACTGTATATTTTAGAATTTTGACTTTATAACTCATAATTGTGACTTTATATCTAAAACTTCTTACATTATTTCATTATTTCTCTTAGCTGAGTCTCATTCATTAATTTACCTTCAGCTTAGCCCCTTAATTATCAGACGTCACCACAGCGGAATTAACTGCCAACCTATCCAGTTAATTCCATGTTTTATGCACCCGATGCCCATCCAGCCGCAACCCAGTAGTGGGAAACACCCACACACTCTCACATTCACACATAGACTCATACTCTATGGCCAATTTAGTTCATCCAATTAGCACGTCTTTGGACTGTAATGTAATGTAATGTGTATTTATATAGCGCATTTATTGTGTATGGCCACACACCCAAAGCGCTTCACAAGCATGAGGGGGGAGGTCTCTCCACACCACCACCAGTGTGTAGCATCCACTTGGATGATGCGACGGCAGCCACAGGACAACGGCGCCAGTGCACTCACCAAACACCAGCTATTGGTGGAGTGGAGAGACAGTGATAGAGCCAATTCGGTGGAGGGGGATGATTGAGAGACCATGATCGTAAGGGCCGATAGAGGGACTTTGGCCAGGACACCGGGGTTACACCCCTGCTCTTTCACAAGAAGTGCTATGGGATTTTTAATGACCACAGAGAGTCAGGACCTCGGTTTAACATCTTATCTGAAAGACGGCGCCCACTGACAGTGTAGTGTCCCCTTCACTTTTACTGGGGCATTAGGACTCACATAGACCACAGGTTGAGCGCCCCCTGCTGGCCTCGCTAACACCACTTCCAACAGCAACCTAGTGTTCCCTAGTGGTCTTCCATCCAGGTACTGACCAGGCTCTGTCCTGCTTAGCTTCAGTGAGTAACCGGTCTTGGGCTGCAGGGTGATATGGCTGTGGCATACTGTATCTGTGCGGGAACACTGGAAGAACATGCAAACTTCACACAGAAATGCCGCCTGGACCAGCTGGGAACAAGCAACCTTCTTGCTGTGAGGCAACAGTGCTAACCACTGAGCCGCGGTGGCACCCTGAGTTTACATGATGCAATTGTGACTGTTTCTCAGAGCTGCAAGTGTTTCTTGCACAATTTTGAGAAAAAAAGGTCGGAATTGAGAGTTTGCCTTCTGCAATTCTGAGAATGAAATTGTCATTATTTTTCATTCAGTGGCAGAAACAGGCATTTATACTTTTTCTTTTTTGGATATTTTAATATTTCTGAGTTAAATGATGGTTTATTGATTTAATCTATTTGTTTCTATGACTGTCAGCTTTTTATTATATAACTGTGAAGCACCCTCGTCAGCAGTAATATTCTTTTAAATGTGATGTAATAATAACTAATATACATTTATATAGCGCTTTTCTTGACACTCAAAGCACTTTACACAATGGGGGAATCTCCTTATCCACTGCCTGTCTCTGGGACTCTGCCACCAAAACAAGAATTTACAAGTCCAGAGTGGCAGAACCCTGACACTGCCAGTGTACAGCATCCACCTGGATGACCATATTGAGCCTTACTAACACCACTTCCAGCAGCAACCTTTCCCTGCTTTCCCATGTGGTCTCCCATCCAGATTCGTCAGATTTTAAAAATGTTTTTCACTATGTAAAATGGTCCTGTGAAAAACTTGTCATTAAATGGTTCTTTTTTGAAGTAAAAAAGCATTTATTCAACGGCAACATTGTTAAAAATAAATATAAATAAATACCTTTTTTTGATTCTTTCTGGCATCTTTAATTTTAAAAGCGTATAGACTATTTTAAGGGATGTAAACAATTACATTGTTCCTAATGTATATCCTGCTTTACATTGTACATTTCCATAGCTTCTAAGAATCATAAAAAGTCCACATATTA